ATATAAAAATGTAATATTAGGGCAACAATTATTTCAATATGTCAGAGCAGTTTGCATCCCCCCAAAACTTTGTTTTCTAAAGCTTCTGGTCAGACGGGTTTTTGAGAAAAAACTGGTTCCCTGGCTTGAGAAATAGATTATGTTGTAGGCTGTCGTTGTAGAGCCTGGCAACTGAATGCTTAGATTCACATGATCATAGTTACAGCTTCTCCCTTCAGGACAGGCGGTAGGATGTTATATTTCTGAGTCCTAATATGCCTGTGTGATCTCTGATCAGGTGGGTGCTGTGTGTCAACCACATGGAGCCAGTGAAAGGTTTCCTTGGCCGCTACCTGAGAAGGAAGCTGATCGAGATGGAGATCAGCAGCCGAACACGCAACGTAGAGCTGGTGAAGATTATCGACTGGGTCCCGCGGGTCTGGCACCACCTCAACCGCTTCCTGGAGACACACAGCTCCTCTGATGTCACTATTGGTGAGAGCACGGGAGAGAACAGGGAGTGCGTAGATGCCAGTGTGGAAGCACTATTTATACCTCTGCTCTGTGGTTTGCAGGACCCCGTCTCTTCTTGTCATGTCCCATGGACGTGGAAGGCTCCAGGGTTTGGTTCACTGATCTCTGGAATTACTCCATCATTCCCTACATGCTGGAGGCAGTGCGTGAGGGACTGCAGGTTGGGCTTAGTTTTTGTTTGTAGAGTTATTAAACATATTACCATTCTTCTCTTTCACATGTTTCCCATTTCATCAAAGAATCAGAAGCTGTGTCTTCTTTCATTTCTGTTCACATATGTTCCAGCTTTCACTCTTGTCTGCTGTAACTTTTAGTTATTACTCATAAACCTGAACCTCAGGTAACAAACTTGTTTTTCAAAACTGTTGTCCTAAATTCTTTGTCCACCTCGAAGCTTCTCTGGGTCACAGTTCTGATGTTCGTCTCTCTCTGTAGCTGTATGGCCGCAGAGCTGCATGGGAAGACCCAGCTGCCTGGGTGATTGACACCTACCCGTGGTCAGCAACCCCCCCTCCAGGTGACTGGCCCCCGCTGCTGCAGCTCCGGCCAGAGGATGTCGGGTTCGATGGCTACTCAGCCCCGAGAGAAGGAGTCAGAAAAGAGCCGCCACAGAGTGACAGTGACGCAGACCCACTGGTGAGTAAAGAGCAGACCCTGATGCCAGTTTCTGTTCTGAGCATTTAAACCATTTAAACCAAATGCACAGTGTCTACTATAACCTGTGTGTGAAAGAAACTGCTTCGTGCATAAAGCTCAGTCGAACTGACACTTAGTTGTGCCGACAGATGAACATGCTGATGCGTCTGAAGGAGGCAGCGACCTCATCGAGCCCACAGAGCTACGACAGCGACTCCAACAGCAACAGCCACCAGGATGACATCCTGGACTCATCGCTGGAGTCGACCTTGTGATGCTATCTGAAGGCAACACCGGCATCACTTTAAAAAAAAAAAAAAAAATTTCTTTTAAATAATAAGAACTGTTCTCAGTGTGAGAACTTCCTTTTGAGGGTTGAATTTCATGCCACAAAATCCAGCCACCTTAATTTGGGTGCAGGTAACCCAAATACTTTAAAAAAGGAAAGAAAAAAAAGTGAAATTGCATTTCAGTAAACGGGCAACAGAAGTTTCTACTGCACTGCGCTGTTTGTCCTGTTTTTTGTGTTTTTTCCCTTCACCACTGTGGCCCGTGGCTCCTCTCTCTGGAGCCTGACATGTATTCCAGACAGACAGAAGAAAAGCACGCAGCCTGTTGCTGTTGGCGAGGCTTCATCATTACCATCATCACCAGCCATCAGTGTACTTAAAACACCAGCCAGGAGTCCTCCATCCTCCACAAGGCTGCAGCATCGGTCCAAGGACATCAGGCTAAGACACTACGGGTCCTGCCAAGCTGTAGTGTGCCAGAGCTGCCTGCAGATGGTGATACAGGCCCTCAGTTCTGGAGCGTGAGTGAACCCTGTACTTCAGCCTTCTGAAAACATATATGCTGCTGTGGGTTGAATGGATGGAGGAACAGCCAGCCACTTTCTTGCTCCTCCTCCTCTTCCATTGCTGAAGTTGCCTGTGTGATCACTGGAGGATGAATCGAGCCAAAGTGAATGTTCAGTCTCATAGCATGCCTGATCTCACTCCAACAGACTTCTCAGAGAGTTCATTAGTTGTCCATCCCAAACTAGCAAAGACAAAAAAAAGAGTCCATCGAAGGACACGTGTCCATTAAAACCAACTAAGCGATGAGTTCCTACCTGCCATAGCCGAGCGTGTTTGTGGACATGAAGGATGGGAACTGATGGCTTTCTATATGGTACCAGAGAAGTAAGCAAATACTGTAGCAAAGCTTTGTCTACACCGTGTTTTAAGAAAGAACCTTATGAAGGCAAGCTTAGTTAGTTGAATCAAAAGTTCTTATCACAAAACCTACTTACACTTTGTTTTGGTATTTTATTATATTGCACTTTTTCTTTAAGGTCCACAGAGGTTATAATATGGCATTATAGCTGAGAAATTATTATTCCAGTAAATCTAGAAGGATAACATGTAGGTTTTACTGGCTAAAGAGACAAATATAAATACTTACTTCCTGAGAAAAGCTTTTTGTTTCTTTTTTTTAAATCCACAGCATCTGTAAAGTAACTTTTAAAAAACTGCACAGATGAAAATCTCTTTTACAGAATCCCTTTAAAGTTCTCACAAAAAGATTTTTAAATGGAAAGGGCACTTAATGGGAAGTTATCATCCACCACAGCTAGATTTGTCCTTTTTGAGGCATTCTTCTCCTCTAGCTGTGTTACAACTTCACCGTGCAAGTCTGTGAGCTCATGCTTCAACCCCCTTAGTAAACATTTGAGATCTCCATGCACATTAGCCCCAAGCAGGCGGTTGTAGCACAGAACCCTTTTGGTGCTGGACTGAATTCTAACAAACAATGCCTTACTATTTTCTACGTGCATTAGCGGATTCTTTATTCCTCTAAATGGCTGTAAACTTGACAGGGCTCTGAGTCGACTCTCACCTCGAGCGACTGCGGTTGTCGAGGAGTGATGCTGACCTCTCATCATATTATTCACCAATGCCGCATGATTGAATACACATGAAAGAGAAGTAGTGCTTTTGTATGCATGTGTGAACTGAGAAGATGGTGTAAATATTTGGACCACTATCAAGAAAAAGCTTCGGATGTGTTGTGGTGCTCAATACCCGAACTTAACTTATTGGTGGTTGATTGGGTGAGGGGAACTTTAAGAAAAAGTCTTTAATTTTTTTTTATACCTCATCCACATCATTGAACTGTGCTTCTGCCACACTTATTGTCTGTTTTTATGTGATTTGTGATGAACAAAACTGTCATAACTACATATTGAGCTAATTATGGAAAACTAGTGCATATGCTGCTTTGTTTATATTAATATAATTAATCAGAGGTGAGATAAAAGTACTTGTGGTTGAATGATAATGAAAAGTGGTTTGCCATTATTTCAGTAGCTTAAAGAATTACGAATATCATACTTTTGTTTTAAGCCTCCCAGCCTGCCTTCTGGGAGGGGTGCTTAAAGCTGGGGTCATGGAGTCCAGCGCGACTTTCCATGTTTTTCTCACCTATCCTATGCAACATTCATTCTGATCTCCAAATGGAAGCCAAAAGCCGCATGCGTGTTTGTTTTCAGCACTGCCTCGAGATGTACAGCTTGGAACCAGATATGTGAAGACTTTACAGATTTGTGGCCAACGTTCTTTGTCCATTAAGTGTGTCTGTGTATTTCATAAGGCCTCTCCTGCTACTGTCCTCGTAAGCACAAAGAGACTTAATTCTGTTTGCGTGTGTAAACCCACTCTGAGAGGTGTGGATGTCTATCAAGCGTTTGACTCGTCTGTTGATTTATTACTCACAAACTCAATGAATGTTTAGCCTTCTTAGCAATGTACTTTTTTTTTTTACATGTAACATAATTTTGTAAATAGTTGATTATTGTGCAGCATTTTGATGACCTTTTTCTAGACAATTTGTTACAGTACTTGAAAAGGAGTATTTTGTGTACAGTCTCTTTACATCAGAGCAGATTGGTGCAGTTTCTCATCACTGGTTTGTCCAGGGCTCAGAGAATTAAATTTGATATCACTGTACTAGTCTTAAGTTATTGTGTTTCAATAAAATTAATAATTATTTATGATTGAATGGTCAAACTGTTATCTTAAAACTGCACACACATGTGACTTGGAATTGTTTAGTTTTATTTGATTTTTGTACAAAAGGTGAAATAAACATATATACAGCATATAATACAACATAGTTATTAAACAAATTGGTATAAATTAACAAAATAGCTACATTTTTCAATAAACAACTCTATTCATGTCAATGTAAAGTAACGCAATATTCTTGGCATAAAACTTCCATACGAACTTGTACAAAATACTGTACAATTGAACAAAGCTGTGCAAAACAACAAACTGTGTCTCAGTAGCAGATCCTGTCCAGTGCGCATGCACTGATGAAGCCACAAACATGGGTGCAACTTGTTTCAACGGCGACGTTGATGGTTTGTCACAGCGGCAGTTTCCTTCTAATCTGGTCACAGTCTCATAAAAACAGATCATGGGTTATAACTCTATACTCGCTTTTCAAAATAAATTAAGATACTGTTATCTCCTCTTCATCTGACTCCGAGAAATCCGAGTGCTTACTGGAGAGGGAGGGAGAGGAGATGGTGGAACCTGCCGCCCTCATTCTCTCTGTTCCGAACTCCTTTTCTTCCTCCTCTTCCTCTTCGGCTGAGGACTTCTTGCCCACATCGCTGAGGTCCGGGTGCGGGTTGGCTTTGGTGGGCAGCGTCTGCTCGCGGCATCCACCGGAAGACAGCAGCTCTCGTTCCTTGGAATTTCTCCATTTCATCCGTCGGTTCTGAAACCAAATTTTTACCTGCAAGGAGGAGAAAATCATGAGTGGGTAAAGTTGTTTGTCGATAATGGGTTAGTCGCTAGAGGATTACGGAACTGGTTTTTACGCACGGCGTACTGAACATTTTGAGCACTTGCGAGTTTTACCTGCGAGTCTTTTAGGCCAAGTTTAGATGCCAGCTTCTTCCTGTCGGGCTTGCTGATGTATTTCTGTTTCTGAAACATTTTCTCCAAGGCTTTGCGCTGCACGTCGGAGAACACCGCCCTCCTCAGCATCCCTCTCCGGGGTTTTCCTCTGGCTGCCAAGGGCCACGAAAAAGTCCCCGGGATTGGAACAACGGATGAAGATGCTACAGTGCAGGAAAAACAAAACAGAAAATTAAGTGGAAGCAATTAGCATCGTTTTCCGTCATTAAAGACAACCACCATGCCACAAATGTACCGAATTGCTGTACTTAAAACTGCCTGGACATGAGACCATGACATGGCCGCATGAATATAACGATTCTTCGTTAGGACCAGCTTTCAATGGATTATTATTTGAAGTTTCCCTTTTGGAACTGTGCAGTGCTCATGCGTCCTGAGTGAAATGGCACGAGGTGACTAATTAGCACATTGGCCGGTCCCCAACCGCATTGGTATGGTAAAGAGGTAGCATATCCTTTAAGGAACCCTGTGAGGGCGGATAGAGGAGTTAATAAACCGTGAACGGTAATTGTGTAGTAATGAACTAACGGTGAAAAGACTCTGGACAGGCGGCGAAGGCCATATATTATCGCAACAAAAGGAGATTTACACTTTCAAACTAAACACAACTGCATACCAGAATACTGATGCTTGGATGGGGGAGTGAAGAGTGGAGGGGAATGGTGCTTTTTTTTCGTGCCCTCAAATCATTTTCATTAAATGAACACGAAAAGCTATTCAGGACGCTGGAGTTGTTTTGTTGAGGCATTCAGCTGAGCCCATGAAAAGACTCCATCTCTATTATGATTTGTCTGAATGAAAGACTAGCGACTTTATAGACTTTTCTAAGAGATTATTCTTTATCTCAAGTCGATGATTGGCCCGCTCGGAGAAAAGAGAAACGTTTAAGGCACAGACAGAGTGGGGATTTGAGGTCAGCGGTAACCTATCCTATGAGTCGCCCAGCATGCAGAAAACTTTCCCCCGACTGCTCCAATTGGAGCACAACTGGGATTTTTTTTTTTTTTAACGTTGGCGTTATTTGAAAATCCCCTCTCCCGGCGAAGGACGCTGTTCCTGTCCGCACACTACTGCCTGGACTCCCCCTGACTGCAGCTGCCCCGCGCTCGCAGTAGCACCAAGAACAACGACGCGCTATGTGGTCTTGTGAGAATATTGAAAACTCTCAATAGCGCCTAATAGGGAAATTAGTGCATGACTGGTTCACGCCTTTGGTCCGACTGGTAAAAGTCACTCTCCGGGGTGTGTGGGTGGTTCACCCGGTGGGAGCTGACCAAATTGGTCACGGTGGTGAGGGCTTTGTTGCCCGCCACAGTGGCCCGCTGGCCCCCCGGACGCTGTGGGAAAACGCGGTGCCGGGGAAATGCCAAAACGCCCCCCAATGGGAAGCAAGGGGGACTATAACTCGCCACCCCGCCTCAAATTTAGAGCGTGACGATTTGGGATAATTGGTTAATTAGGGGGTGGGTGTGTGGGTCCACGCAGAGGCCAGAGCCAGCGGTCCCCATTAATGAGACAGTGATTTCTTCTTTTCTGGCTGTTTGTTTCCCTTTCTGCTTCTGTTTTGGTTAAAATATATGACAGGAGGGGGTGAAAGTGTTTTACATTTAAATGCAATTAGTACAGACACGACTCTAAAGGCTAAAGAGAGTCGTAGATAAGGAAGAAGCGAGTAAAAAAACCAAATGTTGCGCCTACCTGGTAAATAAGGCGCCCTGAACATGGGGTGAAAGGTTGCGTCAAAGCAGGGGACGGGGAAGGTCTTGGTGTTCAGACTGTGGACTGCAGGGGGTAAGGACGCTGTTGAAGAGCAGAGCATGTTAAAATCATTCCTTCATTTAGAAAAGAAAAAAGTGGCTCTAAAGCAAACGCATGCGCGTAAGGAGAAAGCAGAGCGACGCTGTAGTGTCTACTCACCAGTCTTTGGTGAGGGTGCGAGGATGGCGTTCACTCCAAACTTGAGAAAACTCGGATCCTTGCTGTTCGGCACCGATGTTTTAGGTGAGCACGATTCGCGCGTCCCCGTACCCACCGCTACCGTGCGCTCCAGCGCGCCGCCGGTGGACACGGTGGTGGTGGCTGTTGTCACGGAGGCGTTCGCTGACGGGACAGTCCGGTTTATAAAGGCGGCGGGACGGCTTATCCGCAGCAGATCCTCCACCAAGAAGCTGGAGTGGGTCTGGAAGGCCGACGGCAGGGTCTGGTGGAGCGGGAGAGCCGCGGCGGGCCGGTACAGCCCGGGGTAGAAGGCAGGAGGCGCAATAATGCTTGGGATCATCATGGTCCCGGCTTTAAGAAAAATTCAAATACTCCTTGTGTCAGCTGGGAGAGAATCAGTCTTGTGAACGGTTGCTAACTCCTCTGGTTTCCTCACTCTGGGGAGAGAAGTTTTATAGTAGCCTGCCCCCCCTCGGCCCTCCACTCAGGGCTGACAGCCTCAACAATGGTGCTCAACAAAGTTCTCCACATGGGTCGCTTTCATGCAGCATCTCCCGGGCCGCTGATTGGCCGGAGGACGCAATTTATGATTGTATTAGACTTCATAAGCAAGTATCACACAATGTGGGGACCACAAAGGAGGCTCAGTCATCAATTTTGCATGTTGGCTACTTTCCTTTCAGTTTGTTTTGTTTGGCAGAGCCAAGCGCCCTAATTAAAGAGCAATCTTTGTATTCAGGTATTATATTGGGAGATTTAATGACTGCTTAAAAAGATATCATTCCCTTTTAGCTTTAACGCTCCCCTTCTTTAAGTAGAAGGGGAGCGTTAAAGAAAAGCTTAGTTATTATTTTAATCTATTGTCAGTTATGCAAAAAATAAAAATCTTGGGGTGGATTTCTTTTAAAAGAAATCAGGTGAGATTTCTATTTGGCTGACATTATTAGAATAAACTGCAGTCTGTTTTTGTTGTTAAACCTACACCTTCTACATCAGTTGCAGACATGGGCTGCATCTCAGATGTAAATCACTTTTAGGGTTTCATAGGATTCTCAACACTCAATCTGGCCCTCGTCATGGAATAATGTCTTAAACGGATTTCTGCTATCAAAACGCTTTAACAGATGTGTTAAATATCACTCTTTTTTGCACAGGCTTCATTCATTGCGCACTGAGCTGCGGCTGTGCGCAGAGTAGAAGTGTGCGGCCTGAGCCGTGCGCTCATGATCCTGTTAACCATGAACTAACTGTCACCCTCAGCTGCGGAGGAGGCGCCCCTCGGCCTTTCTCCCCTTCCTTCTCTCGCCTTCAGAAAAAGCCCAGTGGAATAAAAAAAAAGAAAGAAAAAAAGCCTTATTTCTAAAGACGGTTTTGTTCTGCTATTTTAACTGGCTGAATAAAAGTGCATCTGTGATTTGATTTAAAACGCATTCATATGAGCGGACACTGAAACCCCATATAAAACTCTTATTAAAGCGACTTCGAGCCTGATAGTCGTGTTCTGTCAGCTTTCCCCCCCAGAAAACCCGTTAAAGCAGCGCAATCAGGCGAAAATGCGTTTCAGACTTAAAGAGGGAGGGGGGGGGGGATCCCAATTGTTGCCAGTATTAAACCCAATTAAAAAACAAACAAACAATTAAAATAAAACCAATCTGGAGGAAATATGTGGCTTTAAAATGTAAACAAAAGTTACAACTTGATTTTATTAAAATATGTAATTTAGCCCCAGATGGGTTTTTTCGTTTATATCTTTTCTTTGAGCTCAAGAGTACAACGCTCGGCGCATTTTAGGCCTTAATTACGTTTCTTTACCAAAAATTCATTTCGATCACACTGATTATTTTCATTTACAGATATGAAATTCATTTTGTGCAATTTTTCAGTCTCCTTAAAAAACAACAACAAAAAAAACAACAACTAAAAAATAGAATAGTTACACTCTTTAGACCATATTTTAGTTTGTTTTTGTTTTTGAAGAAAATAGGTTCACTGTTAAGTGGAAGAGCGAGTTAAAATCTGACATAATTAAAAATCAGCCTTCCTTCCCTTCTCTGAGTTGCAAATTTTGTATGAAGCTAAGCTTCATTTGGGATCAGCTCAGATCATGATTAGCACTTCTACGTCAGTCTAATATAAAGTGGCCACAATTCCGATAATTAAAAGGGAACGCCTCCGTGAAATGATCCTTTAAAGAGAGTCAGCGCTTGTAAGAGGTGCGTCTGCGTTATTCACGAGCGCAGGACGCACAAACAGGCGTTAACACAGCGCTCCGTCCCGGCAGCTACACCTCCGCTAAGTAACGAGACCTTCAAAGCTTTTTTATGAGCCTATATTCCTTTACTTGGCCGCCCGAAATCCTTCTTTTGTGAGCGGTAAGCAGATGGTTAGCAGGAAGCATAGGCTTCTCTGGCTGACCGAGACTAATTTCTACGAGCTTTGCAAGCTTGCCACGTCCCCGCTCCTTTACCAGGCCGAGTAAAAACAGCTGGCTGCGGCTGAATTAAAAGCCATTAATAGCGCATCTCTCAAACATTAACACTAACGACCCTCCCTCCCTCCCTCCCTCTGTCAGAGCACGATGCAGTCCATCACTTTTATACAATCATCCCGCAGGGATTCAGATACAAGTTAAAGTTTAGGCGGCACCACGTGATACTCTGTAGTACAAGCCCAGAAGTGTTTTATAAATCACTGCGAAAGTGTGGACCCGCGGTGGTATTTACCGTTTAGTTTTTAATGCGTCAGTTTGACATAGCAATATTATTCATATTGCCAGTATTATTTATAGTACTCAGAATATCCTGATAGCCTTTGATAGGCCTGTCTGTACAGGGATTACCATTACAGAGTGGCAGCTGCAGGAGATGCAATTCATTTACACTCCCAGTTATACTGATTACATTAAACACTTTTCCTAAGAGTGTTATAGTTTTTTTCCGGCTGGGCCATGCCAGTTTACCAAATAGATGAACTTAACCATTATCTTGGCTCTCTTTCTGCTTCGTTAAGTGAAAGGGGCTGAGTAAATATGTTACCCATGCATGAGAGGCTCTCTATGGGCCGTCCTATTGTGCTGCGGGTCCGACAGGTGGTTGACTGTTTATTATTCCCTCATTATTTATCAGTGACGTGGGCGCATCGAGGAAAGGGAACTCCCCGTCTTTTCACTTAACCGGGACGAACAGATTGTGCTGACTGGTTGCTGCCTGGTTTATGACACCGGCCACCAGTCCATCCATCTCCACCCTGCAGCCGTTTAGCCGGCATCCACCTCCATCAGGGTCTGTTGACTCCGTTAAACGCTTTTTCTGGGTTAACACATCCATCCCGACAACTTCTGTTGTGCCGATTTCAGTGTGGTTTTAGCAACACTGTTTAGCTTTGAATCATTACAACAAAACTGATAAATAAATAAAAATCTGCACGTCGAAAGTTTAACAATTTGTAGCTCTACATACTGCAAAATTCAAATTTACGAGAAAAATGACGCAGTTTGTTTCATTATGTTAAAGAAAAGCCTAATTTTGCACATTTTACATATTTGTACTCGATATTTTCCATTTGAATACAACGCCAAACTCGTTACCCACTAACATTTAAATACAAAAAACGGTGCACTCTGAAATAAAACTAGGCTTTAGTTAAGGGGAAAGGGTAAACTTGAAATGTAAGTTCCGTACTTTTTGTGTTGGGTGTCCAAAATATGAGTCCTCAAACACTACATAGCTCCAGAAGATTTTTTTTACATTTATTTTCACATGCATGAAAAAAATAAACAGGTAAAAATAAAAATCTGGAAACAGATCATTTGTTTTTTGGATCACGTTTGCATCACTTATTATACTTGCAATAGAAAAAGGAGAAACTAGTTTTGGCTGATTACAAACTACAATTCGCATGATGGTGTGCTACACTAATAATCTAAAAAACAAACAAACAAACAAAAAAACGGAGTCTTTTTTTACTTGCCAGTGTGGAAGTATTCATACAGTAAATCCAATTTTATTAAAAGAAACAAGTATGCAGGAAAGTAGACAAGCCAGTGGAAGCAAATAGAAGATAAAAAATTAAATAGGATATTCTTTGCATTTTCAATATGAAATGATCTACTGGTACATACATTTATTGAAATCAACTACTTCAGTGAGATCATAGTAAATTACAGCTTCTATAAAGCAATTACTAAAAAGAAGCCTTAAACTCATCTTTCTTTGATAACATTAAAATAATTTATGATAATCTTCATGCCCCCCATCCCCTCCAATTTTTAATGATTTTGGTACTACTTGTTGAAGTTTGTGAGTGCTTGTGCCCTCGCTGTATATCGTTTGTCAGATGACTCCGGCCTTTAGCCCATACAGTTCTTAAAATGTCCCAGTGTGTACAGGTTTCAGATGAAGCTGAAATGGGTCTTTGCTCCTGCCATGTGAAGTTAACCAAACATCTATTTCAATGGATTCAGTTTGTGACCGGGCTTCACCTCAGCAGCAGCTCCCACTTGGGGTGTTTTGGCCGCGGCTTCACCTCACCGCTCGCTGCAGCACTGAAGGTCCCTGTGGCATCTGGTGCAGGCGGTGCAAAAGCCCCGCTCAACACTGAGCGAATTAGCGATGCCACAAGATTCAGAAGAACAGTGACAAGCATTAAATTGATATTAACTTTGTATTAAACATGGGCCCCTCCTTCTTCCCCAAATGGACGGGAGCCATATCAGGACACAAAGCGCTCTGTATGAACTCTAGCTGCACCTGTTCCCTCTCACTTGGTCATGGGAGTTCAACTTCTTAGTTTCACCCCAGGCTCCCTTTTTTGTTTGCTTCGCCACACACTGAATTCTTTTAGTTTGGCCTTTTGTTAGAATTTTTTTGATCTCATCTTCACAACCCCAAAGTTACATCTTATCAAATCACAATCCTTAAGAACATCAATTTCACAGCAACCATCCAAACTTTAAATTGCAAGTTCTGCTCTCAGCCGCATAAAGTTTCCAAGCAGAATGGCTCTTTTCGGGCCAGACGGGGGACACTTGCCTCCCCTTTTTGCTGTTCATTTATTAGCAGTTGTTGGTATGGATGTCGAGTGGTGTCCTAATCCTTTTAAAACGCATGTTGGTACAGTTTGCATATCATTTTCTGATCTTGGAGAAAGGCCAGAACCCTCTCTATTCACAGGGATTCCCTGTCCTCTTTCAGTGGAGCCACTGCCAACAGCATTAGCATAATCTGACAACCAATACCATTGTCCGTGACCTTGTATGCAAAGTTAATTGCTCATTAATACCAGACAAAACAGAGGGGTGCAGAGGAAACATAGTAGTGCTTGAAATCCCTGTTTTAGAAGGGATAGTCAGGCAGGTGGAACATCCTTGACTGGGTTATTAAACTCTACCTGAAGTTACTGCAAT